TTTGGAGGCTTAGGTCCTACGGTTGATGATATAAATCCTGCATGACCCATAATAAAGAATATACCGTATTTCCCGTAGTTTAGGGTCCTTAAGGTAATGCAGGATTTATATCATCAACCGTAGCTTTGGCGTTCTGGGGTTTAGGGCTCCTTTCAAGGATTCCTTCAAAGGTTCCTTTGAGGGTTCCTGTGACGGTACCGCAGTTTAGAGTTTTAGAGTTTGCGTCGAGGATTTTGGTTGAGAGTTCAGAGCTTGAAGTTCAGGGCTTAGGGTGCCCTGGTTAGGGTTTAGGGCTTCGGGTTTAGGGTTTACAGTAGGGTGCCCTGGGGCTGTCATCGGAGGTATAGTTAGGCAATGTTAGGCATGTCATTCTGCTTGCGCGGGCCGTCGGCCCGCTTGTTTTTGCCCTTCGGACGCTGTTCTTTGCAGTGGTTCGTGAAAGCCCGCTCCAAATTTCGACATCTCAGCCGCAACTTCCAACGGTAAACTCTAGACTTCAAAACCCCACAGCGCAGACCTTCTAAGCTAACTAATCAAGCGAGTTGAGGACCCCTTATGACTCTGGAGAAGCAGTTGGAACATCCTTTAATAATCAGTCTCTAAAGCTTTGTTCAATGTCTAATCTTTTATTTCCTCTATTCGGGGGTATTGAACTCGATGGTGGTCCTCTGCGCCCCAAACTGTCCCAAGTTGTGCAAGGAATTGGAACAACCTTGTGCGTTGTACCCTATGCTCTAAACCACAATATGGACTTGTAAACCAGCGGGTTTCAACATATTCAGGATTTATAAAAGGAAGCCATAACAAGGACTTTTCAAAACGGCAGGTTTTATGTGGGTGTCGGTCGTTGGCAGGGAGAAAGCCCTGCGCTGAGGCTCATCCGTTCCGTCGGCGGGTTTGGGCAGATGGGCATTGCTGAGGCTTTTCCTGCGGGTACTCTCGGCTGTAGGGTTTGGCCTGCGGCGGTTTTGCAGGTGGTATAGGGGCCCCAAGAACGAGAGCAAGATTTTGGGCATGAGGCATTAGATATGTACGACGAAATAGTAAGTATTTATGTATGTATGTAAGTATATGTGGGTGTAAATATCTACATACTTGTATACATTTATGTATATATAAGTATGTATGGATCTGAACCATGTGGACAGTCAGGTCCAAAAGGTTGTGGGTGGTGGTCAAAATTATGGTTCCCGTTTGGGTCCTTATAATAATACCGCACCACAATTATGATACCTGTTTGGGTCGGTAATAGAATACGGCACCCAATATGTCGGGTACCCGAAAAGGGACCATAATTTTGACACCTCCCTAAATCCTAAACCCTCAACCCTAAACTACCCAACGCGGGTTAGGGTACAGGGCTCCTGGCTCGTGGTTTCAGTTCAATTTCCCTGAGGCTCCGCTTGAAGGATCATGGGACTTAGTAAGTAAGTTTATAAGTACCTTAATTGGGGTTCTAAGTATAGTTACCTTACTTATAGCCTTAACCCTAAACCCTAAACCCTAAACCCTAAACAGTCCCATGATCCTTTAAGTCACGCTGAGTCTTGAAAGACAGCCTGGACCCTTCGGAGCCTGCAGCGCAGGGGTTGGTAAAGCAGTCGTCTCCTCAGGGATTTTTTTACATATTGGTTCATATAAAAACCCAATAGAAAAACTTAAGAATGCTATTTTTATTATGGTTCTAAGGGGGGGGTATAGAAAGGGGCCTGAACCTTCAATAGAAGCCGCGTTTTAGTGAAGCAGACCAACAAGTATTATTCTCATTACAGCCTCTACGTTGTGGCCTTGGTTTTCATGCGTGCTGTAGCAGTATTCCCGTGCGAAAGGATATTTAGGGTTCCGGTCTGGTCTGGTCTGGTCTGCAAGAGTTCTGTCTGCATACTTCGTCACAGTATCTCCTCATAGTCCCAAGCTAAAATTTCTAGCTGGCCCGAGTGTTTCCATGCATGCAGTTTCGGGACTTAATAATGTTAGGACAGTAGGGAGGTAGGCCTATGGGACACTTTGTGTTTTCCCCTAACTCCCTTGTTGGGCCTAAGAGCATCTTACCCATAAATGTCTTTGAAAGGCTTTGAAAGGCTAACCTAGGTAGGGTTCAGTGTTGGTCGATACGCCCCAGTCCCAAGCCAGTGACAGGAAGGGCTGCACCCTAAAGCCAAGGTTGTTTGAGAGCCTCCTGATTGCACTGAATCCCTGCACGCGGGTTTGAAACTTTACGTAAACCCTAAGCCCAAGACCCTAAGCCCTGAACCCTGAATCTTTAAGCTCTAGAACCTCCGAACCCAGCAGCAAACGCCAGGAAACAGCGAATTGAACCGACGTGAGTCTTGAAAGCCGAAGGCGACGTAGAGTTCCAGGGCTTTGGGGGCTTCCGGTTTAGGGTTCGAGGTTCAGGGGTTAAAACATGCGGGACTTAATAATTACCTATACTATTATGGGGGTTCCTTATTGTAGTTACAGTATAAAAAACACCAAAGCGTCATTCTACCTATATATTAAGGCCCCTACATTAGCTTTTAGGGTTTCAAGCCTATTGCAGACCACTGATGAATCGCTTTTCCGGGCTAATGCTCGGCATCTTTTGATCAAGGCTCCTAAAGAAAGGGCTTAGTAAGGGTTTAGGGTTTAGGGTACAGCAGGGCCTACATTAGTTTAGAGGCTAGGTGGGTTTCGTCGGAAGCGCCAGGTGCGAACGCGCATCACAGCGAAGCGGCAGGAAATCTGGCCTCTCGGCGCGTTCGATTCGGGGCTACAGGGGGTTCAGAATTGTGTTTTTTTTTTGATCAGGGGTGACAGGAAGATGGGTCTGGTAAGTAGCCGCTTACCATAGGCGTCGACAGACCCCTATGCTTTTTCTATAGCCCCCTATTCCGCCTACCTCCCAAACCATCCACGGACCCCTACCTATAGACCCTGGTCGCATTCCTGTAGACCCCTATAGCAAGACCCCTGGCGGATCTGCATAGACCCCTATAGATAGGCCCTATCTCTACTTAGGCTAGGCGACTATGCAGCATAGGCCCCTATCCATTTTCCATAGACCCCTATCCCGATCGCGATAGGCTATCTCTCAAGCCATAGGCCCCTATGCCTTTCCTTGTCCGTTTTAAAATCCATTCGTTCAAGAGTGTAATTAGTGAAAACCCTTGAAGACTCCCCATGCCAAAGCTTTCCCCCTAAACCCTCAACCGATTTGTCCGAGTGTGAGTGCCGAAACCACGATGATGGCTCAAGGCTCAAGTTTGGCTCAAGTGGCTCCAGGCCTTGCGGTGGGAAGAAGCTTCGGCCATGACCTGGTGCGCCAACGTAAACCGAGCCTATGTAGTGTGCAGAAACTGCACCGGGCAGTGGATTTACCAGGACCGTATCAATCAACACCCGGAGTGCAAGGTATGTGGGAGTAAGTGGGGCGTCCCCGCTGCACCCCAACGTATTGCCACCACAAGGTCGCCTAAGGTCGGCCGAGAGACCCCGAAACCGAAGTGGGGCAAAGCCGGAGGCATAGTGCGGAAGCTGTGGGACCAATTCCCCATGGATGTGCAAACTGCTTTCCTAGCAGCAGGCTGGCAGGCGGATACGGTTGCCCCGCCACCCCGTCTTTCGCAAGAGACCAACGGGGGCATTAAGACCAATGATGCTAGTCATGCCTGCCCAGATCAGGAAGCAGTTCAGCAGTTGTGGGAAACTGCGGACCCCGTGCAACGCGACCTCCTTAGCAGAGCGGGCCTCGAGCCGCCCAAGGAGCCACAAAAAGGGCTGGAAGAGCTGTGCAGACAGTACGCGGCTGATCTACCGCCGGCTGTGAGGGCGGCCCTTGCAAGCCCGGTGGAACCCCCGAAGCCAAGCCCCAAAGAGGAATTGTACCAGATGCTTAGTACGTATACCTCGGCGATGCAGGGGCTAAAAACCTTGATCCAAAAGAAAGCCGCACTGCAACTTAGGATCGATAAGGCCAAGGCCACATATGCGAGCATGTTGGAGGACATGAAAGACATGTGTCGTAAGGTGGACGATCAAAATGCCAAGGTTGAGGAGTTGCAGAAAGGTTTGCAGCAGCAAGTGCCGACACCAATAGACCTGCATGAGCCTGGCAGTGGAGGGATCAAGGTAGAAGAGGGACTCAGGGCATTGGAAGCGGCTGGAGTGGTCTTGAGCCCTGAAACCAAGAAGGCCTTCGTACAGGCCCTAACTCAGGGAGGCGAGGCACAGGAGGAAAAACCCGTGCCACCTGCGCAAGCGGAGCTTCCACAAGATCCAGAGGGATAGGGGGGTTTCGGCCCAATGCGCGGCCAGGGTGATCGTGCGGTGCACCCGTATGGGACGGGAGAGCAGCGAGCGACGGAGTAGGGGGTATGCGAGGGTGTCCTCCGGAGGACGGGGAACACCGACTCGCAAGCAACCTTGGGGTCAAGCGGAGCGCGTGTCTTGGAATTGGCGCCGTTGCTAAGTTCGGGACAAAGCTGGAGCTTGAATGGGGAGGCGTCCTCCTTTTCACAATCTGCGGGGGTATCGCAGCTTTTATGGCATCAGTCTAAAGTGGAGCCCGGGGGGAGCCGGGGAACCCTTTGGTGCAAATCTTGTGGAGTACTTTTTGTCCCGGCCAATGAGTCGGGTTGGACCAGAGTGGTCCGGCGTCGCACGGTACAGATGTGCGAATTTTGCAACAATCGCAGGCCTACAAACCGACATGCGAGTCAACACGGGGATGGAGCTGTTTCCGATGTTGACGGTGCCGGGGTGAGGCCGCGGGGTCGCTGTAAGCAGGGTCCCGAGGCTAAGTCAAGGACCGTGTTGAAGCAGCAGCGGCGCCACAAAGTCCGTGAGGAGTGGCCCAAACTCCTTCAAATCCTTCAGAAGGCCGAGTTGAGTAGCATGGCTGAGCATGAAAGGGACATCGTTGAAGTTGTTACTCAACTGGAGCCGGACCTGGAAGAGGGAGACCTAGCCCATTGGTTGTGCGATCGCATGCTTGACCTTTTGTCCAGGAGGGCGGAGGACGCTACGGGATGTGTGGAGGCATGCAAGGATGTCATTGCGCACATGGAACAGGGGAGGCGCCCTTCCCTTTTCGAATGTGTTAGCGCCAATGTCACTCGATGGAGGAGTGAGGTGAAGCAGTGGATGACGAATCAACGGGCGGGTGTGGCTTTTGTACAGGAGACTCATCTCCTGGAAGGGGACAATCCGGGCGCAAACGCAAGTGCGGAAGCATCCGGGTATCGAATGTGGACGGCTAACAGCTACGACACTGGACAAGGTGGCAGCAGTGGTGGGGTTGCTGTGTTGGCAAAACGCCACCTCAACTTCCGCTTGTTGGATCGGTTTCAGCTGGAAGGTAAAGGTTACGTGTTGGTAGTGGCCAGATTCGCTGGTTCGGATGTTGTGATGGGTAGCCTCTACCTGGCCACGGGACAGGACTTAGGCACACCAATCAATGCAACCATCCTGTCTCAACTCATGGCTAAACTGCAAGCCTTGGCCGTGCCTTGGATTGTGGCGGGTGATTTCAACTGTGATTTGGATACCATCCGGCAAACCAGGATTGCTGAAACCACGAACGGTGCATTCATTGGTGCCGGGGAGGCCACATGCAGCACGGGGGGCCAAATTGATTACGTGTGGGCCCATAGGCGTCTCCAGGGCCTAGTGTCGGTCAGTGCTGATTGGGAGGTGCCTTGGAGGCCGCATGCGGCTTTGCGCATTCAACTGCATTGGAATGTCGGACAACTACCAATGTTGCAGGCCCCAAGGAAACCGGCGGCACAGGCCAAGAAGGAGGCGTCCTTCTCTTGGTCCCCGGCCCCCTTTGTGCGTGTCATGGCTCACGTGCAATTCAACCGTGCCACCAGGTGGATTGCGGACTTCAGTCATAGTGTTGAGGAGTCTCTTTTGGATGCAGGGGGCCAGGGTCGAGGCTGGAACCTCGCGTGGGTGAGGAAGCCTCTCACACCCCAGCAACCGGCAGGCATTCAATGGAAAGGCAATCATGCTGGATACTGGAATCGGCTTGGGGTTTGGTTGGCGTCGTACCCGGTTGGGAGGTTCCCGCCTGGTGTTCATGACAAGCTGACTGTGCATTTGGCCAAGGTTGCGGAAAACTGGCACGACGAAAGCTTGTGCATGACGGCAGAGGAGTTTGCGGACCGGATGTGCCACGAAACACTCGATGCAAGTAGTCAGCGTCAGAGGCTGGCAGCAGTGGTCAAAGCGCAGTTGCGGTGCGCCACCTAGCTGGATACAAACGAACGAAATCAGCGGTATCAGGAGTGGCTCACCCAAGCCGGTGCAGGCCACATGAGGCCTTTGTGGAGGGCACTCAAAACTCACGAGGCCAAAACTCAGCGACCGTACCAAAATCTCAGCATGGAAGTCAGGAGCCACGCTCGCAGAGCGGGGTGGTGGGAGATTTGGTGTGCGGCGGACAACACCCGCGACGTTGTTCAGTTGCGAACCCTGAGCACACAGGTGCGAATGGCGGCGCAAGCGCAGGCGCAGCAGCTGCGGCCAATCAACTTGGAAAGGGCCCATCGTAAGTTCCGAACCATTGCTCGTAAGGCCTGCGGGCCGGACGAATGGACGGCTGACATGCTGAGGGCGCTTACTCAGGAGGCCGGGACTCTCCTAGTTGAAGAAATGATGCAGTGGGAGCGGGAAGGAGTCCTTCCCGACCAGCTCACAATGGTGCGCTACACACTCTTACCAAAGTCGGCAGAGGATGAGCGACCCATTGGTCTAACGAGCTACCTCTATCGGTCCTATTGTCGTCTCCGGTGGGACTTGTACGCGCAGTGGCTGGAAGACTACAGGCGAAGTGCGCCATGGGACCGAGCCCTTCCAGGGCACTCGTCTCTTGACACAGCGCTTGCTAGAACTGCGCGTCATGAGGTCTGCAAGCACACGCGCAAACATGGGGTGACTGCCCTGGTTGACTTGTCCAGTTTTTACGAGCTGGTTCCTCATACAATCTTGCTAAGGGAGGGTCTTGAGAAAGCATTCCCACCGGTTTTGCTCAATGCCGCCGCCCAGGTTTACGGCGGAAGCCGTTTCATAGAGGCGGAAGGTGTCACTGCGGCGCCGATTCGGACAAACCAAGGACTGATTGCAGGATGTCCACTGGCCCCAGGCTTGAGCAAGATCATCCTGCACAACCCCATGCAAATGCTTTTTGACTCAAAACTCCTCACCCACCAAGACTTGTGGATTGACGACATAGGACTCGATGTGATACACCAGAGCCCAACGCAGGCCGCCATTCGGAGTGTGAAGGCCTTTCGCCTGTTGAAAGCTGCGCTGGAGGAGTCCTCCCTGGTGTGGTCCAAGAAAAGACGGTTTTCGTGTGTACCTCGGGGGCAGCCAAGGCGGCAGTGGAGAGGCTCAGGACCAGCGAAGATCCGCCCATCGCTCTCACCTCAACCGACCTTGGGTTGGATTGTGGCGGTGGCGTCCGCCGCAGAGTGACCAAACATAGGTCGCGCCTCCACAAGGCGGCAGGTAGACAGAAGAGGCTGAGGGCTTTGGCGCCCAAAGACAAACGGGTAAAAATCAGGATGGTCAAAGGTTCGCTGCAGCCAGTGGGCATCTATGGCCACCAGGCAACAGGAGTCACACCGCGGAGGTTTAAGTGGCTTAGGTTCCTGTATGCGGAGGCTCTGGGTCGCATGAAAATAGGATCCGTCATCTGTGTGCTGGAAGCTAATGCCGGCCGCACGCGGGACCCAAAGGAAGTCATCATGGCACAGCACATCCAGGCCCACAGCCGCATGATGCTGCAGTGGCCACGGGAAGCCGAGGACAGCCTCACGAAGGCTTGGCAAGCGCTGCAACAGAGTCTCAGTGAAACCCGTTGGCCTTGGCAAAAGGTGACTGGGCCTTTGGGGGCCATGGCGACTTACCTTCAAGAACTGGGCTGGGAAGCACAAGGGCCCCGGCACTGGTCAATTGACGGACAGACGTACGACGTGGCATCCGCAGCGGGGCTACATGCAGTGGTGTGGCATCTAAAAAACGCCATACAGCAACAGAGGTGGACAGCGGTGGCTGCCACGCCGGGAGCAGAAAACGTTGTCAGCGGCATTGATTGGCAGGCCGCCAATAAGGCAGTAAAACACCTTGCTCCTCTGGAGAAGACGGGTGTGCAGACTTTGTGGCAGGCAGCGCTAAAAGCAGGACCGGGGGCCTTCTGTCAAAGGTGCCAGACAGAGGCCTCACTCCAGCATGTTCTGTATGACTGTGCAATGTGGGGTAGCCATGCACTGCCTCCTCCGAGTATCCTGTCAATGCAAGCACATGGGTGTCATACCAGCCTTTGGTTGCGCGGGCTTCCGGCCAAACGCGCCTTTTACGAAGTAGACTCGAGCGTGGAAATCAAAGGGGTCTGGCCAGTGCCAGATTTGACGGATGTCCGGTTTGCCACGGACGCCACAGGACCGAAGGACCCGCGGGAAGGCCCGGTCATCTGGGGAGTTATTGCCTTTCGTGTCCTAGCAGGGGGCGAAGAAGGTGAATTGCACACGGGCCGAATCCAAGTGGTGGGGTCCATCACGGGTGCTGTGTCCTATGAGCAGACAGTCTTCAGAGGCGAGGCCGCGGCGGTCTGCGAGACTGTCCAGGCACACCCTGGAGAGGACGAGTTGGACATCACGTTGGACTGCGAAGGAGTCCTTCGCAGGATCCAGAGGCGTGGCCCAGGGCATAGTAACCGAGACCTGTTGGACCCGGTTAGAGCCGTCGCACACCGGGTGCGATTAACGTGGGTCAACTCACACCTTGGCAGAAAGGCCTTCGAAGCAAAGTTTGGGAGTGATAAAGAATGGCGGCGACAGGCCAACTGTGTGGTTGATGAGCTGGTCAAAAAGCGCGCCCTGCGCATCGCCGGCCCGACTGTACAAGCAAGTGTCAGGCTGTGGGACAAGCAAGTGCGAGAAGTAGTGCAGTTTCTGGGCCAACGGGTGTCGTTTCTCCTCACCGCAGATGAGGCAGACAAGGCGGAGGTCCTGTTCCAACCCAAGGCTGACCGGCTTGGTCGCGGAACACCCCACGCCACTTCGACCGATCGAGGTGATGCCACCAGGCTCAGCCGTAGGCAGCAGCTCGAGTTGCTAATCCAAGAGGGAACGCGGGGAGGACACTGCTGGCAGGAGTCCCACCGTGGCAGCACAAACCTCACCATATCCTGTCGCAAGTGTGGCTTGTATGTTCAGCAAAATGACAGCGCTTGTATCTTCGACAGGAAAACAAAGCAACTCTGTGCTGGACAAGCCATGGAACCACTCCCTGGCATGCACCCTTCGCACAAATTGGAGAGCTTGGGATCGGCTTTCATTTGCATCCAGTGTAAACGTGTCCAGCGCGTCGGGTTCCGCGCCTTAGCCCCGGTTTTTGGCAAACTCTGTGCCCCCACTCAAACCTGCAACAGCAAGCTGTCCAAGTTGTGGCGGCAGGGCCGAGAAGCGCAGCAGCATGCCCTACCAGGCGGGGGGGGGGCAGGGCAGCCGAGAAATCAGGGTCGGAAGAAGCAGACCTTTAAGAAAAACTCGGTCAGTGATGACAACAGTGGCCTTGTGCAGCCACGTTTGTCTTTCCGCCCACCGCCGAGGGCTCAAGACAGTAGCCCGCGCAGTGGGTGACGGTGGGGAGGCTCTGGTTGGCGTCCAACCGGGGTCTCCCGCCGCTAGCCATGGAGGGGGATGCGTCCCATGAGGAGCTCAGGCAAAGATGGCAGGAGCTCAATGAGCAACGGCAGGCGCAAGGCCTCAAGCCGCGAAGCTACAGGGACTTCCTAAAGTCCCGCAACAGGGAAGGTAGGCGCACAAGACTGGGCCTTGCAGTGGAGGACTACAGTGTGGAAAACTCGCCGGGAGAAGGCAGGCTGTTGCCCCCTGGCTTGAACCCGCCGCCTCCTCGAAGGGATAGGACGGCACCCTTTGCTGCAGAACAGACAGGAGAGGTAGCGTCCGCCTCTGCACAGCCGCAGCAAGAGGCCACGGCACCCAACACTGAAGGGGAGGAAGCGTCCTCCTCTTGGCAGAGGCCGGAGCAGGGACCTCTACGCTCTCCGGAGTCCGCCAGAAAGCGCAGGCTGGAGGCCGAGACTGAGGAAGGTGGGCAGGCCGTTAGGCTGCGGTCGGCTTCTGCAGTCCGTAGAGACGCCGCTGGCGAGGAAGAAGAGAGCAACGAGGTCGAGACGCAAAGGCCCTACGACAGTCACACGGAAGGTCCCCGGCCGGAGGCGTCCTCTGGCTGGGGGGACGAGGGCCCGAGTTTCCATGCAGCAGTGGAACGCGAGGCCAATAGGAGAAACGTGCGATTGATGCACCACCTTATGGGGTCCGTTTTGGTCCTCTACAGAAGCCCACTTTCGGGAGCGCTCCTACCACGACCGGCACACATGCGAATGGAAGGCAAGGGCAACCAGAGGATTGCGTATTCCTTTGGCTCCTATGTGCTCAAAGTCACAACTTTTGCCTACGACCATGGGTCTGAGGAGTACTACAGTACCCGGTTCACCAAACTGTGTGCTATTGTGGTGCACGCGGGGCCTCTCAATGTTCGTATTGGGCAGGGTGCCCGTGCAGAGTATGCTGTGCTCCACTGTCTGGTTCAGGAGAAAGTGAACAGAAAAGCCGAGCCTTGGCTAAATGCCCAAACGCCGGCGATAGTCAGGGAATGGTTCAGCTACCTGCTGGCCGTGGTTACCTGGCTGGGAGCCTGCAGGGTCAGGGTGGCAGACATCACGATCTCCAACTTGGGCTTGAATGAGGATCACAGTGTCCGTTTCTACGACTTGGGGAGCTGGTCAAGCTTGCCATACCCCCAGTGGGGTGGCGGCAGCGGCCTTGAACGGCTTCTGGCCCAACGTGAGCCGGAGCTGCTACGACAGTTAAAGGCGCGCACCACAGAAAGGCTACAGGCTCTCTTTGAGCACTTTGCCTCCCAAGCGGGGCGGTTTGCTGGGTTCCTTAGCCAGCAAGGCGTGGCGCAGTCAGGGGAGCATCGTAGAATGGCTCCCTCGCTGAGGCTGACTCGAGACGAAGAGGGGGACCTGTCTACCTGAGCGGGCCTCTCCAGAAGCCAACGCGACTCCAAAAGCCTGCTGGCTGGTGTCCAGCCACGGAGGGTACAGCTGACACCTGTTTCCAAAGGAACAGGGCACCCGCCGGATGGCGTCCATCCGGGGTTTTTCTAATTAGGTGCATGCGGAGCCTACGGCTGCGGAGAGCAACGAGCGAGAAACCACGATGAAAACATAACAAGAAATTCGCAAAGTCGGATCTCAAAGAAGAGATCGCCCTGGTTGACGAATGAGGCGAGCGCGAGCTCCTTGAGAGCAAACTTCCTTCCTTGTGCAGTGGCCACAGCTAGGCACGCAGCTCGACACGAACTCCATTCCATCCGGTGCATCCTATGCTGCATCGCCCAGCGCCCTATCCGGTGCCAACATTCCCTCCTATGCCACCCTGAACCCCAAGCCCTAAACCGTAAAGACCTCTTGATGGACGGAGTCTTTCATATTATCTTCAAGGAAGGAAGATACATGAATATTTCCATAACTCCCCTAGACAGAATGGTGCTTATCAAATCCTAAACCGAAAACTTAAAGGAAACTCATATGGAACCCGTCTAGAAATCTTTCAGAACCCTTTTCCACGCCTTGGGCGTATCCCCTTACAGCACCTTTCTACCCTAAGCACCTATATAAACCCTAGTTTCTCTCAGCCAAAACATCTCAACCTTCAACCTCCTAAACCCCAAACCCATCTAAACCCTGAGCCCAAGAAATCCTAAACCCTAAACCCTAAACCCTAAACTACCCTAAACCCTAAACCCTAAACCCTAAACTACCTAAACCCTAAACCCTAAAAGGCCTCAGCTGAAAACAACCCTGGCCTACACCCGAAATCCCAAACCCCTCAAGCCCTACCGATAATTTAGTTGCGCAGTCCCATGATCCTGTAAGTCAAACCCTAAATACCCTAAATACCCTAGATACCTTAAATACCTCAAATAGCCTAAACCCTAAAGCCTAAAGCCTAAACCCTAAATGCTTTAAATAGCTTAAACCCTAAAGCCTAAACCCTAAAGCCTAAAGCCTAAACCCTAAACCTTAAAGCCTAAAGCCTAAACCCTAAAGCCTAAACCCTACCTGTAGCCGAAAAGACCTACCTTCTTAGGGTTCCTTATTATGGTTTCTATATATAGATCCTAAAAGAGGTAGGTCTTTTCGGCAACAGGTAAACCCTAAAGCCTAAAGCCCTAAATACTTCAAATAGCCTAAACCCTAAACCCTAAAGCCCGAACCCTAAACCCTAAATACCTCAAATAGCTTAAACCCTAAACCCTAAACCCAAACCCTAAACCCCACACCCTAAACCCGAAGCCCCAAGCCCTGCGAGGTTGGCCTGCGCCTCCCTCTCGGCGGTTTCCTCCGAGCTGCATCCTGGTTCCGATGCTCTGGGGCCTAAATCGGGAATCTAGGCCTCCTTTAAGGGCTACCTTTAGAGGGATTTATAAGGGCTCCTAGAAGGGATCTTTGGGGTTTAGGGTTTGGGAGTTTCCGAAGATTAGGGGTTCCTTTACAGGGATCCTTAAAGGGGTCCCTAAGGGATCCATAATCGGGCTCGATGTTAGGGCCTTAATAATTAGAGTAGGGTTCCTGTAAAGGGTTCCTTTGAGGGATGTTCTGGGGCCGAGATGGGAGTTTCTGACAATTAGGGGTACCTTTAAAGGGATCCTTTAGGGGTTCCTTAAAGGGATCTATAAGGGTTCTATGAAGGGTTTAGGGTTTGGGAGTTTCGAAAAATTAGGGGTACCTCATTTTGGGGTCCTTATGACAAGGATCCTACGGTTCAGGGTGCTATATCAGGGTCCCTTATTTTCGGAAAGATCCAAACCGGGAATTTAGATGAGGGCTTCCTTCAAGGGCTCCTTTCAGGGCTCCTTTAAGGGCTCCTTTAAGGGGTTCCTTTAAAGGGGTCAGGGTTGCCATACTGCAACAAACTAGGGTTGCTTGGAAGGGTTCAGGGTTACCATGCAAGAATGGGGTTTTCGGTACACTGTGGTCTTTTTAGACTACCGGCTCTCAGCGGTCACCTTTTCCTTTTGCTTGGTCTTCGGGTCCTTCTAAAACTACCCAAGACCCAAAATTCAAAGGGGCAAAGGAGCTCAAACCCTAAACCCTAACGGTTTAGGGTTTAGAGTTTAGGGTTTAGGGTTTAGAGTTTAGGGTTTAGGGTCTAGGGTTTAGGATTTAGGGTTTAGGGTTTAGAGTTTAGAGTTTAGGGTTTAGGGTTAGGGTTTAGGGTTTAGAGTTTAGGGTTTAGGGTTTAGGGTTTTTAGGATTTAGGGCTTAGGGCTTCGGGCCTAAACCCTCGAAGGTATTGCATGATGCAGCTGGGCGTTTACTTCTTCCTGCCAGAAGTGGCTGGAGTTCCTCCCTACAAGCAGGCATCCGGCTTTGCTGGCTTTCCTCGTCTTGGACCCCACAGTAGTTCCTAGGTAGCCCCTTGACGGGGACCCTTCCTAACCTTACTTATGGCTCTCTTAAAAGGGACCTTTTTCAGAGGGTCCATGTCCCTCCCGGGATCCCCGTAATCCTAACTCCTAGCAGCAGTACCACCTTACCCGTTTTGTTTCGGAGCGTGTATTGCTTGGCCATACTCCCCAGAACATTTTTTGCATTTGTCTCGGACACTTGTGCTGCCTTAGGCAACAGCCACTCAGCACCAACCTTTTTGCAGGGTCCCTATAAACTCTACTTATATAGTATGGTCTTGGGGTCCAAAAGCCCTATCATATGAGTCCTTAGAGCCGTAGGGCTAGACCTTAAACCCGCAAGTGGAACCCTCCCTAAACCCTACGCCGTTACTGCGTAACCCTGCCCCGAACCAAACCCTGAACTCTAAACCCTAAACCCTGATCCCTTAAAGGAACCCTCCATAGATCCTTTAAGGGACCTCCTAAAGGGACCCCTATAGATCCCTTAAGCCAAAATCTCTTGGAGGTTCATTTTTGGACGGCCCTGCTCTCCTCGACGCGCAGCTAAAGTGGCCGGCGAGGTCTAGAGGCTTAGGGCTGAAGGTTTAGGGTTTAGGGATTAGGGTTTAGGGTTTAGGGTTTAGGGTATACCTGTAGCCGAAAAGCCCTACCTTTTTAGGGCTCCTTATTATGGTTTCTATATATAGTTCCTTAAAACGGTAGGTCTTTTCGGCTACAGGTAGGGTATAGGGTACATAGGGTTTAGGGTCTAAGGTTAGAAGTATGGGCCCGTAGCATGGGCCCTTAGCCCTGTTAAGGGGCTTTAAAGGGTACAAGCAGGGTATATATTAGGTATACTATGGGCCACAGGCTTAAGGGCTGGGTTCAGGGTTTCAGGGTTTAGGGTTCAGGGTGGCCTTAGAGGTTCAGGGTTTACGGTTTTGGGGTACAGGGGAGCCTTAGAGGTTCAGTGTTTAGGGTATTGGGGTTTAGGGTTCGGGGGGGTTTTAAGGCTTGGCGTGAGCCCCGAAAGGGTCTTATGGGTGTTGTGGGGTTTCGGGTTGAGTGTTTGAGGATTCGGAGTTTCATGGTTTTCGGTTGAGCGGTGTTCTGCTTAGAGTTTAGACAGTTTAGACTTCGAAGCTGAGTACAT